GTTATCAGGCACTGCGTTTCGTGGGGCGCGCACTACGACGCAACACTCGCCATGGCGGTGGCCGAGGGGCTGGCATGCCTAGCGGACAACGAGGCCTGGGCGCGGCCCGGCGGGGATGGGGCCTTTGAAAGAAGGGGACGGCGATGGCGAAGGCATGGGCGAGGGCGAGGGGGGGGGGCAGCTCCGAGGGCGGGGCGAGGGTGGTAAATGTGGAGGGAGCGCATTGAAGGGAAAACGAATAGGAGGAAGCAACACGAGTGGTGCGGTCGGATGGGGAGGGGAGGGGAGCGGAAGGGGTGGTTGGGCTGGGACGGAGAGGACTGGAGCGGAGGGATGCGACTTGGGGTGGCAGGGGGGTCCTGAGGGCGGACCCGCAACCCGCGAGCGCGGCACACCTCGGGAGGCAGAAGGCCGCCCTATTGTTTTGGACCAGTCTGCCCCCCCCACCCCCCGCTTCTCCCTCTGCTCCTCCCCCTCCTCACCCTCGTTCCCTATGCCTGGCGATTCTCTTCACGATCCTCCTCCTCCTCCTCCTTCTCATTCTCGTGAGTCTCCTCGTCCCCATCCTCTCTCCCTCCTTGAGCAGCATTCTAAGTCCAAGGTGCGCGGCGCTCCGGCGAATGCCGCATGTTGAAAAGGAACCGCTCATCATCCTTGAATGTGCACCATGTGTCTAAGACGAATGCGCATGGCGCTGAGGCAACAGACACAGATTGAGCATCGCCTGTGCTCCACCCTTGAGAAGCTGTTGTGGCGCGAAGGCGAGAGCCACGTTTTGAAAAGGACCCGTCCTCCATCCGTGAATATATTGCACACTGCAAATTTCAGGATCAGAAGTTGTGGAAGAAGTCTCAGGCGAACTGCCCAGGCTGGCCTACTGATAGGTTTGGGGGTGCGACGCACAGGAGCTATTCATCCAGTTGTCTGCGGCAAGTCCCGCCACCGTTCCAGCCCAGCATTCTAGGTGGCGCCTGTTCGAGGAGCACGGGAGGACGTCACGTGTCACGGGAGAGCCATGATAATGATGATGGTGGCGTTGGTGATGGTCATGATCATGATGCTTATGACGATGGGGGCGATCATAATTTTGATGATGGTGATTCTGGTGATTATGATAATGTTGTTGATGGTGATGGTGGTGTTGAGGAGGAGCAGGAGCAGGAGGAGGATTGGGAGTGCTGAGGATGATTAGGAAGATGAGGATGATGACGACGACGAGGCGGAGGAAGAGGAGGAGGAGGAGAAGGAGGAGGAAGAGCAGGAGGATGAGAAGGACCAGGAAGGGGATGGCCGTCACATCTAACACTTTTTCGTCTTCACTTCTCGAGGAGCTCGCACGGAACTCATTTGGGCTGTCTTTGGACT